CACAAATAGCGTTTCCTTCACTATCTGTTATCGATCCAACCTACTCTGGTACTTTATCACCATCTTTCATACCACATTAATAGCAACGTCATTAGGTTATTAATGAAAATCCTTCATGAAAACACCACTATCAGTTCTTTAGATTTTTCTAAACATAAATTTAGTCCTGAAGGAGTAACAGCATTGGCACAGATTCTTTATAAAAATAATACTCTGATCTCTCTGAAACTTTGCAACTGTAAACTTGGTTCTAGGGAAGCAATGATATTAGCAGATGCGATTTGTAAGAACACAACTTTGTCTTTATTAGATATGCACTGTAATCAACTTGGTTACGAAGGAGGAAAAGCATTTGCGGAAGTACTTTGCGAAAACACCACTTTAACTTACTTGAATATAAGTAATAATGAACTGTTTAATGATGGCGGAAAAGCGATTGCAGCAGCTCTTTATAAGAATACTACATTAACTTCACTAGAACTTAGCCATAATCGATTTGAATTTGAAGGTGCAATAGCGTTTGCAGAAGTTCTTTGTAAAAATTCTACTCTCACTTTCTTAAACCTTGGTACTAATCAACTTGGTCGTGACGGAGCAAGGGCATTTGCTGAAGTTCTTTGTAAAAATACTACCTTAACTTCCTTGGATCTTCATTGTAATCAACTTGGTATTGACGGAATAAAAGCATTAGCATTAGCTCTTTGCAGGAATGTCACTCTAAGTTCCTTAAATCTTTCTGAAAATCAACTTGGCTTTCAAGGTTATAAAGTATTATCGGATGCTCTTCGTAAAAATCTTACCCTTACCTCTTTAAATGTTTCTAAAAATCGACTTTGTTCAAAGGGGATAAAAGCATTAGCGGAGGCACTTTGTAGAAATACTACTTTAACCTCTTTAGATATTAGTTGTAATTACCTTGGTAATCAGGGAGTAAAACCATTAGCTGAAGCTGTTCATAAAAACACTTCATTAACCACATTGAATCTTCATGATAATCAACTTTCTACTCATGATATAAAAACATTTGCGGAAGCATTTTATGAGAATACCACTTTAACTAGTTTAAATCTTTCTTTCAATAGACTTGGGTGCGCAAAGGGAAAAATGTTAGCGGATGCTTTCTCCAAAAATACCACCTTAACTTATTTAAATCTAAGTAATAATCCACTTAATTTTGAAGGAGTGGGAGTATTAGCTGAAGTTCTATATAAAAATACAACATTAATTGATTTAAAAATATCTAATAGCGGGCTTAATTCTCAAGAAGAAAAAATATTGGCAAAATTTCTTTACAAAAATGTTGCTTTAACTTCGTTAAATTTTGATAATTATCCACTTTATCCTTCCTAAAGCATTTCATCAATTGTATTTATATTACTGTATTAGTTTTTGCTTTATTTATAAATAAAATTTTGAATTATAGTATCATTATTGTATTATTATAATTGAAGTTTCATTTAAAAAAAATTTTTCCTCATGTTATTATCTGATGTTATTGTTGATGATTTGTATTTCGCTTTTGATTATTACTTGAATCGAAAAAGAAATAGCATATTGTACTAATTAGAATATCACCCTTTATAATATGAAAAATAATCGATCATAAATCTCAACAATTCTATAGTTGTTCTATAGTTGTTTTGACGAAACTATTTTTATGAAATGACGAAACCGATGAAACTCCTGTTGACCTCAAAACTGATCCTGTCAAAACAGATAACCTGCCAAATATGAAAATTTAATCCACCTATATAAATCTAACAGTTTAGAATGTTTTCAAATCCGATAATCTCTCGATACTGATACAAAACCTGTCCATCATGCATGCATATCTGTTTTGTGAGGTTCAACATTATGAGACTTCATAATGAAAAGACAAACATCAATAAAAGACAAATTATAAGAAAATAGAACACTGCATGTAGTAGGTAAAACCAATAAACATGAAATAATCTTAAATTTAATGATGCGCATATTGGACTGTTAAAAAATACGGTAGCTGAAATTTGGTTTAATGGCTTTTTATTTATACTATTATACTAGTATATGATCCGTCACTTATAAGAGTGAGAATTGATTCTATAACGATAATAGTCGTTTTAATCGATTCTTGTTTTAATTGAATCTCACATTTTTATAGGTTCGTCAATTCATAAACTTTTTTATAAGCATGAGATTTCGATCACATTGGGTAATTTAGAATTGAGCATTGTACATATATAAATTCTATATATATATATATGTATATATAGTACCTATTAATATGTAATTATTTAATTTATTAACAATATTCTCGGCGAAATAGAAATGATTATTTATATATAAATATTCGATACACATATATATTTAAATATTGGTTGTCTTCAATAAAAGTTTGTACTATTGATGTCAAATTGGTGATTAATAGTAGGTGGACTAAAATCTGCTGGAGAGAAGTTATTCTCGTATAAAGTAAATTGAGGACTAATAACCGGAGATTGTGTTGAAATTGCTTGATGTGGTATGAAAGATGGTGATAAAGTACCAGAGTAGGTTGGATCGATAACAGATAGTGAAGGAAACGCTATTTGTG